CTGCTTACCTGCCATGATAAGAATTTAAGTGAGAAGAGAGAAATTACCTTTTCAAGACAGGTTTCCTAAGCAAGCAAATTTCATGGGGTGGTGTTCATAGAATGATAGAATATCTGAGATGGAAGGGACCTAGAAGGAGAGAGTCCAACAATTCTGCCGTGTGCTTGAGAACATTGTCAAAATGTTTCTTGCGCCCTGTTAAACCTGGTGCTGTTGCAGGTTTCCTGAGGAGCCTGTTCTACTGCCTGACCACCCTCTAGGTGAAGAGCTTCTTCATTATATCCAGCCTAAATTCCCCCTGACACATCTTCATGCTGTTCCCTCAGATCCTGTCAGTGGTCACCAAAGAGCAGAGCTAGATCAGTGCCTGCCCCTCCCCTTCCCCTTGCAAGGAAGATGTTGTTCATGTCTGTCTGTGTAGGGAAAACACATGGGTTTCTCTAGAGTCAGGGTGCCAGCAGCATGTGCTCTGAAGGTACTGCCTACTGGAGAGCCCTTACAGAGGTCTCAGCTGTGAGGACAGAGCTACAGTCATGAAATTCATCTTTTGGAAAACTTGATTCCTTAACAGGAGTGCCACTGGAACTTGCTGCTTGCGTTAGAAAGCCTCTTTGGAATTCACTTGCAGACAATAAGTTGGGTGACCCTTCAAGCTGTAGCTGCTTGATTTTGTTTGGGCTGTTTTTTTTGTTTGGTGTTTTGGTGGGGTTTTTTTTGGTTTTTTTGTTTTGTTTTGTTTTGTTTTTTTGGGTTTTTTTTGTTTATTTGCGTGATAATAGGCCTAGAACTCAATAAGCAGGTAGAAGAGTGGCAACTATTAAAAAGTTTCACATGGGAAGTTGGCCATACACCTGTCCTACCTTTTCTGTTTGCAGCTTATCTTGTGCTATTTTGAACTCTGGTTTCCATTTTTTTTTCTTCAGCAAGTGCTGCATTCTATTGCCGTGGTAACTGAGAACGTCAGTATATTTCGCATGGAAAAACTATATGCTGTCCTTAGCCAGTGCATTTACCAACATCGGGAAGATGGTGACAAAAACGAATTAGTGAAGGTAATTTTTTTTTGTCTTGTAGCAGTTTGTCATTATTACAGGCATGTGTATTATGCATATGTATGTGTGCCCTGTGAATATCATGGTTATTTAGTATTACTCATTGCTGCTTAGTTGCCTGTGTTACAAGATTTGTTCATTACAGTCTGGAAGATATTTCTCCATATTGCAAAACTATTGTTACATTTGGCTTAGCTGTTGGCAGTTTCAGCAGGAAAAGGCTTGAAGATGATGGGTCCCCCCCAGAGCCCTCTCAAGGCAGTTAACCTCAGTCTGTCACCAGTCCTGCTCCAGTACCTTTTCAGTACTGGGGGGGCTGTGAAAGGAGGGTGCTTTTCTCAGTCTGTCACTTCCTCGTTCTCCTCTTGCGGGCAGTCACACATGGTAACACTTGTATAGCAGTCATTCCATTCCTGAAAAGAAACGAAGTATGAGGTGTAACAAGAATAAGAGACTTTAGTCTTGCCAGACTTCCTTTTTAGCTAGAATGGCTCAAGCATTTTTAATTTCAGATATGGGAGCTTCTTGCCTATGAAGGTTTAATGCTAATGAGTCAAATTCTGTAATCTCTCCTTCTAAGAGAGGACTTCCAAGTTGTCAGAACTTGGCAGAAATACTCCACAGGAGCCCATGGTCCCAGTCTGACGTTCCCACTGCTGAGTTTATTTAGATAGGTTGGATATTCAGTCTTCAGCTTCAAAGTCCTTGAATCTATTTGTCTTCCAGGTGGTCATGCATAAGAATAGATAAAATTTTTTAATGCATCTTGGTCTTCCTTAAAAAACTCAGAAAACCTCTTCTCTTGAGTCCTGGTCATCTTGATCTCTTCTTCCACATCTGATAGTCAGATGCTCTTGCTCTGCTTGTGCAACAGTGAGGATTACTTGGATTCAGGGATGCCATTTCTGAAAAATGCACCCTTCTCATAATTACATGATTTAGCATTTTTGGTATCCTGTGCTTGGGAGCTTCTGTGATAGAACTTGATTTCTTTTTTTTCTGCTTCTTTGACCTTTGACCAAAGAATATTATTCAGAAGGATTGCACAAGTCAGTCCAGGAGTAAGTTCTACTGTATGAAGGCAGAGACTTGAACAAGTATTTATTCAGAGTGCAGAAAAGAACAGTTCAGCTTTTAGCTGTGGCTTTTTGGGCACTGTCTCCTCTCTAATTGCTGAAGGCACTATTGATCCATAGTCCCCTGATACAGGTCCCTGCAGTTTTCCTAACCTACTCTCTATTTTGGGTGCATAAGGATATGTTGGAGCCAGTGAGTACAGAACAACAGTGATGGTGGTAGTACATGTATTGGGTAAATCATTACTAAAATCATTACTAACAATTGTATGCACAGATTCTCGCTTCATTTGATGAAGTAGTAAACGGGGTTCTTAAGTTTGTATTCACGCTGACTCCTAATTGGTCCTTTTTTTTCTTCTTAGGCAATGAAGAAAGAAATTACAGCCTTCAGTTATCCATGATACTTGATTTCAGCATACTTCACATGCTCTGTAATGTTTTCTTTTTATTGCATGCTGTTCTTTCTTTGCATTGTTCAATAAATACTAGATCTACATATATATTTATACAAATATATCTTAAAATTTATTAAGAAAGCTCAAAGTCATTTAATGACTTTGGTATTTCCCTTCTATATATATATATATTTTAATGTAACATACTGCTGTGATTGCCTTTTGAACTCAGCAGATCTGAACAGATAATTTCAGTACCTCTCTTTAAAAGAAAACCTAACTTGAAACAAAGCAAGATTGACTACTGTAACTTTCTAAGGTAAAATTTAATCATGCTTGTAATAATGACAATCTTAATACTGGAGAAAAGCATTTTAATACAAATTGTTAGTTCATCAGATGGCTTGTAGTTGAATTCAGTTGTAAATAGTTTTTTAGTTACCTGGGAAGAATCATATCTGTTTATTACATAAAAGTGAATATATTGTTGGTGATAAATATATTGAAGTAAAATAAAAGCAGTACCCTGTTTTGAAGAAGTATTTCTCTTCAAACCAGCAGAGAAAATTTATCTGTTAATTTGATATTTAAAAAAAATAAGAGAAACTTTAACTATATGAAAATAGAATTGTATATAAATCATGATAAAATATGTGGCATGACCCTCCACTCTTCTGTTCTGTCACCTTGCATACACAATGTGTGGCCAAACCAAATGCCAAACTGTGGAGTCCTTCTTTCTTTGTGTTTGGTTTCTTATCTCTGTCAGTAGAGTTCTCTTCTTGTGTCCTTCTGCTGTGTTTGTTCAAGCATCAGTGTGCTATGTAGATTTTTTTTCTCTGTATTGTTTGGTGGTTATTAATAAAAAAATTAATCTTTTTAGTGGTGGGCTGTCTGCTCTATTTTAATCACAGAACAGTTTTGATCATTGATAATCTTGCATTTAAGGCACCAGGACAAATACTATGATTTTAAAATAAGAACTGCATGTGTTCAGCTTCTTCTCCACTTAGTGTATGGATTACATAGCAAAGACATGGTCAGGAGAAAGAAAAAAGAAAAATAACATTTTAATGCACTTTAGTTCATTTATTACATTTCCAATGTCATAATGTCCTTAACTTGATCTCCTCTTTGTCTGCTCTCGCCAATTTCAATGTGACTTGGGGCAGGCAGCTTGAGTGCATCCCCTAAGAGCACTATTCTGAAAACTGACAGTATGGAATTGAGGAACCAGAAACATTCCTGAGACCAAAACTTCTGTTCTGAGCAAATGTATTCCTGTCACTAGGCTCGACGGGATCCCGTACCTAGGCAGATTTTTAAAAAGCTTCCCAACTGTGTAAATTTCATCTTCTGTGTCCACCTGTGAATAGTTAAGTTTTCCCCACAAACCACATCTTTCTTTTTACTTTCTTGGGGAAAGCGTCACATTTTGTCTGACCCAAAATAGCACACAGTGACAAGAAAAATAGTGTAGGGAAACAACGTTTTTGAGAACTGGGCAGTGAGAGTTAAACCCAACTTCGATTAAAATATTTTTGTGTGTAGTAAAAGGAGAGAGTCTCCTTTCTCCAAGCTCTCTAACAAAAAAAACCCAACAACCCAAGGTGTGGGAAAGGTTTTTTTCGTTAGAGCCGCTACTTCTGTCTTGACTCGCCCTGGCTTGAGTCTCGGGACCCTGCGGCCGTGCCGTCCCTCGGCGGCAGCTCCCGGCGGGAGCGGCAGGAAAACCCTTCCCGGGCTGGGGGCGATGCCGTCCCTACAGCCCGTCCCGGGCGCGGCAGGAGCGCCGACCGCGGAGCCCAAGTTTGCCAGCGGAGGAGCGGCCGCCGCCCGGGAGCTCCCACGCCGCCGGCCCCGCTCCTCCCCGGGCCGCCGAGGAAGCGCCGGTGTCCCTCCCCGGGCTGCGGCGCTGCGGTGCCGGGGCAGCCCCGCGCCCGGTGTCCGCCGCCTGCCGGGCGGGGCGGCGGGAGCGGCTCCGCCCCCGCTCGCTGCCAGGGCGGCTGAGGCAGCGGCCGCGCCGTCCTCGCTCGCCGCGCTCCCGCCCCGGGGCAGCGCCGCGCCGGGAGGATGCGAAGAAGCGCCGCGGGGCGAGGCGAGGGCGCGGGCGGCCGCGGCGTTGGGAGCTCCCGGCCCATCCGCCGCCCCCCCGCCCCGAAAGAAGTGCAGTAGTTTGTGAAGCGCAAGATGGCGGCGCGGCCGTGAGCGCAGGCGGCGGGCGGGCGGCGGCGCGGGCTGAGGGGGCGAGGCGGAGCGGCGCCGGCAGGTAGGGACTCGCTGAGGGGGCTCTCGGCGTCGGGAGGGTGACCCCGCTGCCCGGGGCGGCCCGCCCTGCGCCCGCCCCCGCTTCCCCGGGAGCGGGCCGGGCGCTCCTCCGGCAGGGACGGGACGGCGCTGCTGCCCCGGGGCGGGGGCGGCTCCGGCCAGCGGAGGCGGGCGGGCCGGGCCCGCGGGGACGGCGCCCGCGGGGTGGGCGCGGTGGGGCGGCCGCGCCCTCCCGCCTCCCCATTGTCTGGCGGCGGCGCTGCCCCCCGCGGCCGGGGGTCATCGCCCGGCGGGGGCGGCGGCAGAGCCGTGGCATCCCTTGGAAGTGGGCTGTGCGTGCCCTCCGACCCGGCCCGCAGTGGGGTCAGACCCCTCCGAGGACGAGCTCCTCTCCCCTCTTTTCCTTCTCCACCCCGTGCCGGGAGCCTGCACGGGGCTTTGCTCGCCTCGGGGCGGAGGAAAATCCGTCTGACTCGTCAGTCAGAACGGAGAATCGAGAAGTTCAATCCCGGCGCGCCCAGAGGAGCCGGCGAGTTCCTGCCCGCTGTCACCGCTGGCGTTCCGGAGCGCGGATGGACTGACAGACTGACGGTAGGCAGCGAGCCATGAAGTTCTGGCTCCGGAGTTATCTTGCATCCCGTGGCGTTGCGGTGCGGGGGCGAGCATGAAGCAGCAGTACAGTGGATGTGCAGGCAAAGTTGGGAAGACGTCAAGTGTGCTCCTCTGGGGGTGCCTGGGTTTTCGGGTGCGTTCTGATGCTCAGCTCTCCCCTATATCAGGATGTGCAGCACTGGAAACCAACATCAACTTCAATAACCATGTAATGGAGGCAGTTCTGGATTTCGGAAAGGGCTCAGAGTATCTGCAGTAGTGAATGTTATCTGGTAGGTACTTGCACTTTATTTCTGAGCTGCTTGGTAGGTTAGATAGTTAATGGAAAGACGGGGAAGTTTACTGTGTAGAAAGTGTCATGTAAAATAGTGAAGGCTGAGATGCCTTGATCTGCAAGCTGACATAGCTGCCACTTATTCTTAAAATAAGACTTGCACAGAGAATACATTGAGCATTTCAAAGTGCATATAAGCATTGTGTAAATAAAAAGTGGATTTTGTTATGAAACTTGGTACATGAAAACAAATATTCCCTCAAACATAGCAATGAGAGGGGAATTTTAAAAGCTGTGCTGTTGGTTTTCACTAGTGGTCTGTTTTTTGTTTTTATTCAGAAGGATTTCACGCCAAAAAAAAGAAAGCTTGTGAGTACTTACAGAAACCCTGTTTAAAACAACCTGTGTGATGTAGACTAGAGGACTGCCCTAAATTAAGACCTCTTGGAGCAAAAAATGCATAATTTAGAAACCCTTTTGTTACTTTCTTTAAACATTGCCAGCAAGGCAGTCAATTCCACTGGTGGTGTTAAATGAATTCCCCTGAGCGGATTAGAAGTAGATGCCATTTTGTATAACTGAAATTATTTGCTTTTAAATTTAGGCTAGTGGTTCTTGTATCTTGGCTAGACTGAAAAGCCCTCTGCTATGATATTTGGGTAATGTTTACTATGAATGTCCCCAAAGTTAGTACTTTGAGGTAGAGCTTTCCTTTGTGAGGCTTACTTTTCTACTTTCCTAATGTTTCTTATGGCTCTGTTCTGGATTATTTCGTCTCTTGCAACACATTTCTTGATGTGAGTGCTCTAGCTGGATCCAGTGTCCCGATATCTTAACTCCTGTTGTTTATTACAGGAATAGACAATATTTATCACAAAGTTTGTCATGATGATTACCTTTGGAGACTTAGAGCTGTGTATTGAACAGTGCTCCTTTTTTTAGATTCTTCACACTGAATAATTTCTGTCAAATAATGGACTTTGTAATACTGCTAGGATTCCTTTTGTTCCTAATGTACCCAGAAGGCTGTTTCTTGTGTCTTTTGCTTCACTGGGCCGTCTGTAGCATTTCAGTTAAGCTTATTGCTATGGCTGAGATTTTCCCCTGGGTTTCCCACGGTTTGTTTATATGTAGTCTGAGGGAAAGGTTTAATTTTTGGGCTAATTTTCTCATCTAGTTGGGATTGGTGATCCGTTTATGTGTAACTTTAGAAGAGTCTTACTTGAAAAACAGTCATCTTTGAAGTCAGATTCTTACTTGAAAAACGTTCATCTTTGAAGTCAGATTCTTTGCTTAAGTCTGAATTCAGGATTTTTTGCAGTTTTATGAAGCTGGAATTTTTAAAGAACCAAGTACACATTACCTGGGTTTGTTTTTTTTGTTTGTTCGTTTGTGAATAATAAATACAACTGAGGCACAATCACTTGCAGCTAAGCTATGGCTAACCTTTATTTTGGTGATCAGCTTCTCTTTATCTACCAAGCTGAAGTGTAGTAAAGATTTCATGGCATCAAATTCAGTATTGTTATGTTTTCTAATTTTTATAAATCCCGAGCTTGCTGTAAAATTTTCAGAATGATCAGTTAAAATCCTGTGTGATAACAGTCATGGCATCAGGGTGTGTTCTGTAAATTTTTAGCTGAGTGTGTGGACATGCTGTTCTCTTCTGTATGTAAATGGTCAATATTCCCTCTCCTTGTGCTTTAGATGCAGGGTCATTGATCCATAAACGTCCAGGATGGTTTGCTTCTGAGTTGTCAGGGACTTGTAAACAAGTGATGCAATTTTCAGTTTAGTCCCATTTTCCCTTTTGTTTGCTAAACAGGCAGCAATAGAGTGTAGCATTCTACTTGTGCAGCTCCCCACTACCTGTCAGTAGTGTCACCTTTGCTGAATATACACCTCTAAGAATACAATTGTCTGTTACTATTTAAGTTTCTAATATTGTCAAATTAGGCATTAAAGGGATGTGACTATTTATGTTTTTAGACTTATTAGTTCTATTAATTCTAATTTACTGTCTGTTATGCTTTTATTCCAATTCATCTTTTCTCTCTTTTCTCTTTTTTTTTTCTTTTTTCTCTTTTTTTTTTAATTTTCATGGCTAGTTGAGGACTTTCCCAAATAGTCAAACCATTTTGCTGCATAAACAGTTCTTTCTTTTTCTGTGGAGGTGGAAGCCACCAAAATGATACATTTCCTTGTCCTGTACCAACCAGATGGCATTTCATAATTTTGTGCCTTGCACCACTTTCACTGGTGGTTCATTTCCAGTTCTGTGGTCTTTCTGTCAAGAAACTGGATGGCACTTCAGGGGGTCCAGTCAGGTCTTTATCATATCCTTCAGAGTTCAGTGAACTGTAAGGTATTTCTTAGAGCAGTGCCTGTACTACCAGTGGATTCTTTCTAACCAGCTTCAGAGATCAGCCCAAATAGAGCAAAAGTTGGCTATTGTCACTTGTTAGAAGGTGTGTACCACTATTTTATCCTTAAGAGCTTTGAGATAATAGTAAATGTTACACTTCAGTATAATTCACTGTAAAAGAGTGTAATCTAAGGGGGCAGAGCGTAGCCTACATTTATTGTACCATTAAGAGTATAAGACACAGTGCCATCCTAAAGCACAGAAGACAGGAAAATTGCTGATGACTAAAGGAGGAGCAGATGTAGCGTGACTGGAGAACCTTCAGGAAAAATTAAAAAGAACTTTCAGTATTGCTGCTGTTTGCACTTCTTAAAAGACCTAAAAGGTAGCAAAGAACTTAATGTTGCAAATGTTCTTTAGCATAACCTCTGCTTGTGCCAGACAGGTATAAGAACTTTATATATTCTACTTCAAAGAACAGGTTCTGCATCATGTTTGGAGCAGTTTTAAAAAGTGACTTCGGTATTCTGGGCTCACTGCGTGCAACTTGGCCTTCTCTGGTGGCATTTTGCAGTAGCTGCTCACCTTCCTTGTCTAATGGTCTCACTGGGATTTGGGGGAACTTCACATGCTTTGAGGGGACCCAGAGTTTGAAAGCACTGCTCAAGCAAGGCTTGAAGGCTGACAGTTTTGTTTAGAAGAGTGGGCAGACAGAACTGTGTAATGAAGCGCGTGTAACGCCAGCCCTCGCTGCTTGGCAAAGCCAGCGTCGTTCTGTGCGCACCAAATGCACCTCACCAAACAGAAGGACAGAAATGAGCTTTTGAACTTTCCAATGGTTATGGTAAAAGCTCCACATGTTCAGTACCCTGAATCTTCAAAGCATCTTCAAACCACATTTATTAGATGGAAAATAGCTGTTAGCTCACAATTAATTCTGTGAATGGGTAATCACAGAGATTTTAGGGCTTGAATCATTGGCTGTAGGTTAGGACTGTGATTATTTTAACATTGTTTTAGCTTAGAAAGGTGCTAGGAACTTCATAGATGGAGGTGTATGCTTGTATAGTCTAGGGCAATCTTGGTAGAGGTCTCCAAGCTTGCCTTTCTTAAAGCTATGAAGTAGATCAATGAACACAAAATACGGTACTAAGATGATTCTTTTCTCCCTATGTTATAATGGAAAAACTTGATTTGTATGTCAAAATGCTGTTGATTTTAAAACTCTGTTATTGGCTCTGTGCATGGGTGTAAGGCTCTGTCTTAGTTTGAGACCTAGGAATGTTGTATGTCTGAAAAAGAGTAAAGGGGAAACAGTGGGGAAGGAGTCAGGAAAGAACAATTATTAACTACCTGACTGTAGAAGGCTGGAAGTAAAATGTTAGTTTCAGCTGTATGCTTCCTCAAAAACTCCAGCTTTTCAATCTTAAGAATACCTTTGAAGTAGAAACATACTGCCTTTTTATACATGGATCAGATGCCTTCAGCAAATCAGTGGGAGCTGAGAGTGCTCTGCAAATCCCAAGTTGTATCAGGAAGAGTTGGGCACTTGGCAGCACTTGCCAAGTGAGTTAGATGGAGCAGGCATGAAAGCTGAGGAGTTTTTCTTTCTCAGCAGGATTTTCAGCAAGGTAAAATGCATTTTTAGATGCAGTGGAATTTTTTGAGTGTTTAGCCCTGCACAATGTTCAGCCTTGTTTGCTATTTGAATACTTAATGGTTCTCCAAACTTCTCAGGGGCATCTGGTCTGACAAAAGGTTCACCGCACTTAGAGTGTCATGTGAGTTTGGGTTTTTGTTCATGGATCAGTTTGAGGAATTGATGCCCATGTAAAGTCCCTGTTGGCATTGTAGGTATCTGCTTAAATATGATGCAAACACACAGAGCTGAGCTTCACTACTTGTAGCTTACAAGTGTTTTTCAAATTTGACATATTAATACATTTTACTTAAATTTGTTGGTGAATAGAGAACTCATTTTTTATTGCATTAAAAACAGTAATTTATCATGAAAGAGACTACTTTTGGTGAAGTTTTTCGTGAGATGCTTACAACTTTGGGTGTTTTATCAGTCCAAGGCCATTCATTTTAACTCTGATTCTTGACAAGTACCTTTCTTATGTTTTTTTAAATCTCTATTTCCTTGGTTCCTCCAGGGGAAATATAAGGTCTTGCTAATATCAGCTGTTTATTTCTTTAGGGGGACAGGAGGGAAGAGATGGGAGAAAAGAGTGGTATGGAAAAAAAGTAAGTTTACTCTTTATACCCATAGTAAAGAAATAATCACAGGCACACATCCTTAGAAGGATATATTAATCATCATACATGAAGTCCAGAGAGGGAAAAGTTTTACATCACTTTGTACACTGAAATTCAGATTCCTTTGTTTGGAAAGCTTTCCAGTATATTTATATTTGCATGGATGATGACAGTGTGAGCACCATACCCTGATGTGACACTCACTGACAGAAAGTGGGGAATACTTTGACTGCAGTTTAAACCAGATGCATATGGGCACAAGGTGGTTCTAAGTTTAAAATTTGTAGCTATATGCTGCTTTATAGGAGGGAATATCCTATTTCCAGATGTAATGCTCAATTACAGATAGTAATTGGTATCTGCGAATTACTGAA